TAAACCAAGTGAAGTGTGTCAATATTAAACCCATTGAAGTGAAGTGTGTGAATATTAAACCCATTGAAGTGAAGTGTGTGAATATTAAACCCATTGAAGTGAAGTGTGTGAATATTAAACCAAGTGAAGAGTGTGAATATTAAACCAAGTGAAGAGTGGGAATATTAAACCCATTGAAGTGAAGTGTGTGAATATTAAACCAAGTGAAGAGTGTGAATATTAAACCCATTGAAGTGAAGTGTGTGAATATTAAACCAAGTGAAGTGTGTGAATATTAAACCAAGTGAAGTGTGTGAATATTAAACCCATTGAAGTGAAGTGTGTGAATATTAAAATAATAAACCAATTGAAGTGATGTGTGTGAATATTAAACCCATTGGAAGTGAAGTGTGTGAATATTTCTGTAAGATGATCAGTTATTCAACTGTAGTCTTATGTCTCTGTAGGAGTTGGTTACAAAATTTTTTGGTATTTTTTTTACTTCTAGTTCAAAGGTTTATTGTTTCCTTTGGCCCATTCTTCTTTATTAAATAGTTTTGGGGCATTCACTACCAGTAACATTAGGCTAAGCTGAAACATAAAACTTGATCAGGCCACATTTGAAACAGTGGGTTTAATTTATATGAATTGTATAATCCTACTGTACCGTAGAGATTCAATATTACCACCAGCTAATTTCATAGTACCATTAACTGTTCATTATTGTATCTAAGATTTGTATGTTTTTATTATTTTTCATTTTAAAAGAATGTTCAAGTTGTGACTGTTTTTTTTTTCCGTTAACTAATTTTTCTAGGTTAGATCAATTGTAGGCTAGATCAAAGATGCCTTATGCAAATTGGGTTAAGGAATTAATTGATTAATGAGAATGATATTTTCGTTGTCTGTCACATTCGGTACGCCGTAAGATTACTCGCTCAGTTATACGAAAGAGATTTCTTCACTCTTTTGCTGTTCATAAATTAAGTCTTTTAGAAAAGTATTTCAAGTTGTTTTCTTTGTGTGTGTTACCAGCTCTGCTTGGACGTACTCGACGCCGTAATCTGTTACAGCTACTTGCCATCCAACAGTCTCACCCACTTTGTCACAACACTTTGTTGTATCGTCAATGTTGAGAAGTTTAGCCAGACATCTTGGAAGGTGAGTGTTCTGTTATAAAATGTAATTTAAAGAGTACATAAATACTTTTTTAATAGAAGAAAACAGAAACAGGGTTTTAGTGTTTGGTACAGAAGTCTGCAAAGGCAGTTTTGGCCAGAACTGAACCAATACAGAACAATGGAATTTTGGACTTGATTTGTCTTCTGCTTTTTTGCTTCATTTTTCACTTGAGTCATATTTTTACTAGACTTTAATGCCTACTACCAGTGATTATTGTGTATGTGTTGGTAAAGTAGAAAGGAAAGATTTGTTTCCAACTGCTCGGAAAGTTTAGATACTGGTAAAACTTTTTACTATGAACAAGGCTCTACTACCACCATTTTGATTTTCTTGATTAAAAGTATCTTCATTAGAACAGCACAGTACTCTGGCTTATTAAATCCACCAACTCGTAAGTACTCTGGCTTATTGAACCCCCCAACTCGTAAGTACTCTGGCTTATTGAACCCCCCAACTCGTAAGTACTCTGGCTTATTGAACCCACCAAATCGTAAATACTCTGGCTCATTAAACCTGCCAACTCCTGTGTACTCTGGCTCATTGAACCTGCCAACTCCCGTGTACTCTGGCTCATTGAACCTGCCAACTCCTGTGTACTCTGGCTTATTAAACCTGCCAACTCCTGTGTACTCTGGCTTATTAAACCTGCCAACTCCTGTGTACTCTGGCTCATTGAACCTGCCAACTCCTGTGTACTCTGGCTTATTAAACCTGCCAACTCCTGTGTA